CCGGGCCGCCGCCGTTACCGGTGGAGGCAGTGCCGCCGCCGCCGCCGCCGCTGCAGCCGGTGCCCACCCCCGCCGAGGCCGAGCCGCTCGCGTTGCAGACGCCCGCGGACGCGCTGCAGCCCCCCGCGGAGGGCACCGGAGACGTGCCCATGGAGTTGGCGGAGCCCGCGATGCCACACGCGGAAATGGCCATCCCGCTCGCCGAGGGACCGCCGCCGCCAACGGGCGCGGTCGAGCCGATTGTCGCGCCGCCCGTTGCCGAGCTGGCTTTGCCAGGTGCGGAGACAGCGGATGCTATGCGGCCCGCGGAGCTGGACGTTGTTGTTGAATCCTTGGCAATGCCGGAGAAAATCGACGAACCAATACCGGCGCCGCCTACGTCGGAGATAGCGCCGGAACCTGAGAACCAGATTGTTGCGCCTCCCACGGCCGGTCTAGATTCGCCGGGGCACGAAGAGAAGCCGGATGAAACGGTCGAAAATCTGGCAAGTGGAGGAGCAAGACTGGAGGATGCGATGCCCGATGTGCTTGGTCTAGGTGAAGAGCACAAGATAGAAGCACTGCAAAATGAAACTGTACCGCCACAACCAGAAGGGATACTGGGAGAAGGTGAGCCGATGGACAATCCTCAAATACGAGAATGACGGCAAGGAAGGCGACAATATCGTTGATGATGTATAGTAAGTTTTGACTCTGCTTGTTCCTACGTCGGTGCGCACCAGCAGGGACAAATGGGCACCCGTCTATCTACTCTTGTATAAAGCAACTACCAATTCCCAAAGTTCATGATTGAAGGGGGTTCTTCGAGTACTACCCCACTGCTGTTATTTATTTATTTTTTTCTTGCTGTTCTCAACCCTCGCCTTAATGCTTATAGGCTTTTTTGGTTTCTTTTGCATGTGCATGTCCAGGAAAGCCATGCGGAAACTGACACTTCTCATGCCATGGCTGCGTAAGATTTTAAAGGGCAGAGGAGGATAAGGAGGGAGGAGTCCTTATGAGTTTCTCGTTCATTGTAGCACGCGTTGATGACAAGTTGACAGTCTTTCTTGGTCTTTTCCGCCCTCGCTAGAGCTTTCCTAGCAAGAGCTGAGCTTGCTTTCGTAAAACGAGCATCTTGAGTCAACGACAAGGTAAACGGAGCACATCAGCATCTTGCACAGTGCGTATGCAGGTTATGCGGCCTCAAAAGCGACTGGCCTTCTTGTGGATCGTCAAGAGTGAACACGAATCAGCGACGTCATGCTACCATGAATGCTACTCAAACTTTCCCTCTGCTCCTTGTGTTCTTCGCAAAGGGGACATCGCGGTGGGGCGGCACGACCCCAATCAAATCAAGGCTAGTATTGCAATCCTGACTACGAAGCGTTGTGCCGTGTATCTCTACAAGTTGCTGGTTTTCTTCCCTGTCGTCCCACACGCAAGTGTAGAAAAAACGAAAGAACATGGAAAAGACCAGGAAACGATACCAACAGTGGCGTATTGTGATACTGCGCTGATTTGATGCGCAGTACATGTTCCGCGAGCAGCATGTGGGGAGGCAGATGCATACCCTTAATGTCTCAATTCAGCCCAGCAGCGACCGGATTAGGCTAGCCGTCATCTTCAAGTTGGCACCGTGTGGCACAATGGCGGCCATAGAGACTGAAAACAAATACGGCGGGCGGATTTCATGCGCAGACACGCTGAAGCAGTTCATTGACGCACTACGCTGCGACCGAGTTCTGACAGACTCGTTGAGCGTCTCATCAACTTTTTGGTGACTCCACCGGCACGCCCTGGGACTCGATGCACAGAGCTTTGCGTAGAGCGATTGCGTGACATTTAGACGGAAGCGTTCAGCTGTTCAGGTGATGTATTCCGGCTGATGTGGTGGACGCAACTGACTCGCAGTCTCGCGGCGGAGGAGGAGGGGCTCCCGGTGCCGATTCCGAAGGCTGTCCAGACCCCTCCTGCGGTGGTGGACGCAACAGTGACGGCGACGGTGGAGGGGCGTGCATCGGTCTCATTTCCAGGCTGGGCGTCGGAGCAGTGGGAGGTCGAGGCGCCCGAGTAAAGGATGGGGTAGCCCCCACGTTGGAGATTCTGACATGCCCTGGCGGTGGTGCTGGGATGGGCGCTGGCGCTAGGGCCGGCCCCTGACGGACAGGTCTGTGCATGGCCCTAGGCTGTTGCGGTAGCACGGGGATCGAGACAGGTAGCGGTGCAGAGGCGGGTGCGCGGGCGTAGGGGAGCAAAGGAGCGTGTGGTGGTGCGGGAGTTGGTGCGGGCGCGGACGCGGTGGCAGGCGCGGGATGGTTCGGCGAGGGGCCTCCTTGTGGGGCGACGCGTGGACAAGGCGTGCGCGATGGGAAGGCAGGGAGCAACGGGGCGGGGCGCGGCTGCCACGCGACGACCTCCTGCAGCAGGGCGTCGAGGACGGCCTTGGCGAGGGCCTCCCTCTCGTAGAAGGCGGACATGAGGGCCTTGAGGCGTCTCTCGCCCATGCGGTTGCGCTGCTGGCGCAGCTCGGGCATGGTGTCTGCGTCGAGGATGACAGTGGTGGGGCCCGTGACGATGTGCTTGCGCAGCCACGGCGGGGTGAAGCGGGCATACTTGAGCGGGCCGCGCTCGCGCGGCACGCGGGTCTTCATGATGCGGAACATCCTCGCAAACAGCCCCTGGTACACGCCCTCCGTCTGCTTGCGGCTCAGGCGCTTAAAGCGTGCCATCGTCTCGCCCTTGACGTGCATGCGCTCCGTGAGCCACGTCTTCTTGTCCGTCCCCGCGCGCTTGCCGGGGTACCACGCGAGCACCTCGCGCGGCGGCAGCGGCGGCGGCGGCGGCGGCGGCGGCGGCGGCGGAGCGGCAAGCGTTCGCACCGGGCCCTGCGGCGCGCAGGGCGGGGCAGAGTCGTCCGCGAAGCGGCGCAGGGCGTCGGCGAGGTGGGCGCGACGCTGCACGCGGGCGGCGGAGTCGAAGGCGACGGTCGGCGAGAAGAGGACGGCGAGCGCGGCGGCGGGGCGCGGCGCGGCG